CGGTGATCTACAAAACAGGTTGGTAATGGAATGCAAAAATCAACAACCATAAAGCATATATAATACCATGAATGAATCAGGCACGCATATGAAGCGCTGAAATTGGTTTTTCCTTTTTCTTTTTTTAAGCCAGTTCAGACTGAAAAACTGCAAATCTCAATTGGGAATCAATAGACCTAGATGATTTTAGAGATGTCCAACCTCTTTCTGTCTGGAGGCAGTGTCAAGAGTGTCAAGAACTTCTATATCAGTTTTCACATTGTACTTGTTCATGATCTCTGGTTCTCTGAACTCAGACAAAGGGATAAGAGCTACGAAAACCCAAATCGACCCAGATCAGATCGGCACTGAACATGATTAATGTTGAAATCAATCCAGACAAAAAGAAGAAAATATTAACAACTTACGAGCACCGGATTTGGCCCAGAGATTGTTGTGAGAATCGTCCAGAGAATTGGCACTAATGTGGATGATATAAAGACTGTCTCCTTTGTCTGCCAAATTATCTATGGCCCATTTCAGGGCGTTCTTGCTACTGTTAGAGAAGTCCATTGCCACCCCTATCTTCCTGTCGCCCGGCATTTTCCCCTTCCTTTTCTTCTTCTTCTTCTTCTTCTTCTTCTTCCGTTGTTGATGGCTTTTTTTTTTTCTCCTGATAATGGAAAGCAAATTCTTCGTATACACGTTACAAAACAGGATGGGGGCACACTGGAAACTGGATAGGTTGGTTTCACCGAAGAGGTTAATTAATCTGGAGCGTACACTTGTATATCATGAGACGGTGGGTCCACATCGCAATAGATGGTAGCGTGAAGGGCTTCATATTATTTTGTTTATCGTGATGGAGGATGATCAATGTGATCAAACTCCAAACCATTCCTGGATTTGATTTTTGATTACCTTCGACAAAATGCCGTGAATGTCGTAAATGAAAAGAACCATCTAGTCTATCATCTGGACTTGGAGCCGCAATTACAAAATCAGGTAAAATTATAATATTGTATTAAATAAATATAATATAATATGAAATAAATAAATATATATTTT